CCCTCTGTCACAGCCCCTCAGAAGCCATGATGGTCCCTTAGGCAGCTGAGGAACAAGTCCATGATCCTGACACGGCACTTCCCTGCTGCAGGCAGCCCAGCGCTGAGACAGCTCCTCTCCTTGACGGAAAGTCGGTTTCCTTGGCATTTTGCTCACAGTGTAAATGCTAGCCCCAGGGTCACGTGTGACCACTCAGCTTCCCTGCCTCCTTTACTCCAGCTCATCTTCCTTCACGGTCCCCAAACTCCTCCATGGGCTACTCCTGCCTGAGTTGGTAGGGGGTGGAGATAACAACGCCTATCTGGGCAGATGCTTGGTGCCGATGTCCACTTCCCATATGGGGGTATCTGGGTTCAAGTCCAGGCTCTGCTCCCCATTCCAGCTTCTTGCTAATGCACCCTCCGGGAGGCAGCAAGTGATGGCTCAAATACTTGGATCCCTGCCACCGTGTGGTAGATCACAATGGAGTTCTTGGCTTCTGGCTTCAGCCTAGCCCAGTCTTGGCTGTTGCAGACACTTGGGGAGTGAACCAGCTCTGTCTTTCAAATAAAATGGAAAAAAATTAAAATACAAATATCCTGCAAAGTCGTTGCAATGATTAAAAATAGGAACCAACTCTCTCTTTCTCTCTTCTCTCTGTGTAACTCTGACTTTCAAAAAAAATAAATACATCTTTTAAAAAAAGATAGGAACCAGTAAGAATCCTAGCTCAGACCTTTGGCTCACCATGGCGACCTAAGCACGTAGCTTTTCCTCTCCTGCCTCCGGAACATCCGTGGAAAGAAACTGAAGAAGGAGGAAGAGAAAAAGAACTAATGGAAGAGCTGTGTGGGTGTACGGGGCGGGCAGGGAGGGGGCATGGCTGGGACCGGCCCCCGGAATGGGTCACATCACACGTGGGTGAACCCGAGCAGCTCAGCTCCGCTGTGAGGGACTTGGCTGAGCTCAGGCTGCGAGAGCAGGAGAGGAAGAAGGGGCAGAAGCCGGCAGGGAGCGGTCGGCAGAGCTGCTCCGTGGCCACCAGGCAGGCTTCCGCACGCTCGCGTGGGCAGCTCCACCATTCCCCTAGGCTGAGGCCGCGGGATCGTCTTTGAAGAAATGGCGTCACCCAGCTTAGGAAGGGCCCACAGAGGACCGCCCTTCTTGCGCTGACCCCGAGGAGTGGCCAGACCTGCCTGCCAGTCAACAAGCCCCGCCCTCGCCACACCCACAGAGCCTTCAATCAAGAAACAAAGATAACATTTAACGTTAAAATTAAGACCCCTGGGGTTTACACAGTGGCGCACTAGGTTAATCCTCTGCCTGGCGCCGGCTTCCCATATGGGCGCCGGTTCTAGTCCCAGCTGTTCCTCTTCCAGTCTAGCTCTCCGATGTGGCCCGGGATAGCAGTGGAGGATGGCCCAAGTGCTTGGGCCCTTGCACCCACATGGGAGACCTGGAAGAGGCTTCTGGCTTCAGATAGGCCCAGCTCCGGCAGTTACAGCCAACTGGGGGACCTTTCTCTCTGTCTCTCCCTCTCAGTCTGTAACTCTGCCTCTCAAATAAATACTTTTTTTTTTTTTTTTTTTTTTTTTTAGAGAGAGAGAGGTCTTCCATCCGATGGTTCACTCCCCAATTGGCTGCAACAGCTGGAGCTGCGCTGATCCGAAGCCAGGAGCCAGGAGCCTCTTCCGGGTCTCCTATGTGGGTGCAGGGGCCCAAGGACTTGAGCCATCTTCTACTGCTTTCCCAGGCCACAGCAGAATACAAATCTTAAAAAAAAAAAAAAAAAAGCCACCTTATTACACTTTGTTAAATATCTTCATAAAAACAGTTGTGATTGTTCTAGAACACAATGTCCATCTAGTACAAAACTTAAAAGAGGAGCTCTCTATGTCTACCTCCTTACCTTTCTGTTTCAGTTCAGGTTGCCCTAGCAGACTCTGGGTGGCTTCAGCAATAGAAATTTCTTTCTGACAGTTCTGACGGTTGGCAAGTCTGAGATGAAGGCACCCACAGATCCTGTCTGGTGAGGGCCTGTTTGCGGAGGATCATTTTCTGGTTGAGTCTCCACCAGGCTGTGAGAGAGACAGAGCTGCCTCTGGTGTCTCTTCCTATAAAGCAGCTAATCCCATTCTTGAGGACTCCACCCTGGTGACCTAATTACCTCCCAAAGGCCCCAACTCCCTGGGGATTTAGGCTTCAGCATATGAATTTGAGTAGATGAAAATAAATAAACATTAAAAAACACAAGTCAGAGTCAGCATTGTGGTGCAGTGGGTTAAGCCATTGCCTGCCAAGCTGGCATCCCATATCAGAGCACTGGTTCATGTCCTGGCTGCTCTGCTTCCGATCGAGCTCCCTGCCAATGTGCTTGGACCCCTGCCACCTACGTGGGAGACCTGGAAATAAATCAATACATCTTTTAAAAAATATATGAGTTGGAAGGGCATACACACACTCATCTATAGCATACACATCCCCACAAATTTAAGAATAATGTAAATTTATATGAGTAATATGAATTGCTTAACATTACAAAATATTCTTCAGTTGCCTTGTGCAACTTCTGTAGTTAGCAAAAAATTATGAGATATAAATTGGAACACAATGAAAGGGGGGGGAAGGATGTGCTACACTAATGACACAACCCTGAGAATCTATTACATTCGTGTTTTTTTGAAAGAAAGGATCTGATGAGTTAGTTAATTTGTATTTTCTTTCACTTCCACTCCTCCGATCTCCTCTGCACTTTGAAAACTGTTCATCTCTGACGCTGGCATCCGCACAGTCCGTGACGCCTCTTGGTCGTCTAATATAATCACTCTGTGGGAGGCCAGAGGCCTGGGGATGGAGTCGTGTTTCCCTGGTGCCTGAACAGTGTCGGTAACAAGAGCCGACGGTTAGGATTGCTTGATCCCGATGCCAGACAAATACCAGGTCCTGTGTTACAGGGGCTCCAATGTCTTCTTCAATTAATTCACGCTCTGTGTGTCTGTGACACATGGGCTCTCTGAGGCATGACACCCATGGCAGTGACCCTTTGCTCTTGGGTCTGGGGCAGTTACTGGCTTCCTCCTTCTCTTGGTCCTATCCAAATAACACAGGCAAGAGTTAGCCTCTGAGACAGGCAGACCTGAATTCAGGTCCCAGTCCTGTCCCCTAGAAGCCGCGTGATTTTTGGTCAAGACACTGAGACCCCCAAGCCTGAGTTTCCCCATCTGTAAAGCGGGGGCACTTAGTGGTTGCAGTGAGAGTGGCCGGTCTGCTTGCTGGAGACACAGGGGACTGCTCAGCCCCCTGGAAGGTGTAGTGGCTGACCTCAGGTCCTTCCCAGGGTGCCCGAGAGCTGTGCAGTTACAGGGGGTGGCTTGGCAGGGGTCTGCTCAGGAGCTGAACAAACTGGAGCCTAAGAGCCGCTGTAGCCTTCCTAAAAACCCCGTTTATGGGCACCTACTATGTGCACGGCTGCGATGCTGCAGCTCCTCCCTGAATTTTACAGTGGAGGAAGCTTAGCCTCAAGAGGTTCAAATACCTGGCTGAGGTCACACAGCCAGAGAGAGGCGAAAGACCAAGCGCTTTCCTTGGTGTGGTGATGCTGAGTCTAAAGTGCAAATTGTGCATGGAAGGGACACCCCAGCTGACGGAACAGTACTCAGCATACAGTTAATCCTACTCCTCCTCCTGCCAGCCAAGCCCAGCTCCCCGGGGCACCACGGAGCAGCCCCGTGACTTGGAGAAAGCCCCCTTCTCACCCACTCCTGTATCTGATGGTTGCTTGATAAAGACTGCTGGGCTGCTCGGGCCCTTGGTGGGTCCAGGCTCGGGCCATTGGCTGCACGAATGAGCACCATCTCAGAGCCCGGGTCCGCCTTCTCTGTTGAGAGCCGCCGTGTAAGAGGCAGAGACCAGGGACTTTGATCTTCTCGACGTCCGTCTAGGAAGTTGTTTCATAGGAAGTCTGCACCTCTGTCCTGGTGCCTGTCTTCCTTGGTCACCTGGTCCTGAGAGTCGGCCCAGAAAACCAAACCAAGGCAGCTCACGCCCCTACATCTTGGCCTTGGGGACTTCCTTTCGATCCACGCAGACTCTGCTCCTATCTGATTCGGTGCTCCCACCCATCAAACAGCTACATTTGCACAAGGAGGCATCAGACCAACACTATGCCAGAAAAACCTGGCAAAGATTGGGTTACCCACAAAGTAGACCTTGTACACCTATTTTTTTGAATGGGGTTCCCAGGAAGCACTGATGGGGGGTGCAGAAATTTAGGCCCAGAGGGAAGGAAGCCAGTTTATTTTTCTTTAAAAATATTTATTTATTTATGTGAAAGTCAGAGTTACACAGAGAGAGACGGAGAGGCAGAGAGCGAGAGCGAGAGCATCTTCCATATGTTGGTTCACTCCCCAATTGGCCGCAACGGCTGGAACTGCTCTGATCTGAAGCCAAGAGCCAGAAGCCAGGAGCTTCTTCCAGGTCTTCCACATGGGTGCAGGGACCCAAGAGCTTGGGCCATCTTCTACTGCTTTCCAGGCCATAGCAGAGAGCTGGATCAGAAGTGGAGCAGCCAGGTCTCGAACCGGCGCCCATATGGGATGCCAGCACTGTAGGCGGCGGCTTTACCTGCTACACCACAGCGCCGGTCCCAGAAGCCAGTTTATTAATGAGCAAGTTGCACCTGCTACAAATGCTGCTGCTGACTTGTGGGAGACAGAGGGCAGCAAGTCTCAGACTTGTCCCATTTGAAGGGTGAAGATGTTGGGGTATTTATCCTCCGATTCCCACTTGCCGCTGGCCAAGGGCTCTTCCTAGGGGTGTGTAGTCTCCAGTCCTCCCAGCCTGCCTTGTACATGGGTCAAGCTTGCTCATGCAGCAGGAGAAAGCCTTGGGCAGAGCTGCAGCGTCCTGTAGGATGCAGCCACCTGCAGAATGCATGTGGCTGGGTACCTGCAGGATCTGCAACAGAGCCAGCTCTTCTCCATCCTGCTGGGCTGGGGGAAAACAGTGCTCCGAGCCACCACTCAATCACCAGTGAAAACTTTATTGCTGTAAGCAATGGATGTCACCAACACCACTTGGGGGCAAACATATAAAAAGCACAACCTATGGTACAATCATTCCAACTTCTCAACTCCTGCACTGTACAGATGCTTCCCAGGCCTCTCTCCCAGCCTGGGAATGGGGCTCAGGCGCAGCAGCTGCACTTGTCTGAGCCCCCTTTGCAGATGCAGCCCCGGGCACACTTGGCACAGCCCGGGGGGCAGCAGGGACAGCAACCTGAAAAGGTCAGGAGACGGACACATCAGCTTTGGGTCAACACTCCCCTCCTGCCTTTGCCCTCACCACCACGACTAAGAGGAAGTAGGAAAAGAAGAGGGTGTGCACAAGGCCTCGATGCATTTTAGCAGAAAACCTGGTGAGGGGAAGCTGTGTCGTGTTAGGCTGGAAGGGAACGCAGGGGACATCCACCAGAGGCCCAGGGAAGGAAGGGGGTTACCAAGGTCACTGGACAGTGGCAGATTAAAGACTAGAACTCAGGGCTGGTGACTCCAGGCCGGTGCTCCCTCCCCTTCTCCCCCGGGAAGGACAGAACCTCCCCTTCCTCTTCCGGACAGCACAGACATCCTCCTCCTCAGGAGCCCCGCCCCTGCTCTCTGCTGGGCTCTCAGTCCAGATCCTCCCCAAAGGGAAACAGCACCCAGAACCCGCTCCCTCCCGCCGCGGCTGGGGAACTGGGGCTGGGGCGTCGGATCCTCCTCGCCCCGGCCGTCACCATACTCACTTTTCCGACATGTTTTACAGGAGCAAGTTGTGCATTTGCAGTTGTCCCCACAGATGCAGATTCCTCCTGGAAGAGAGGACAGCACCACCATAAGTGTGAGGGCCGAGATGGAGCGGGGAACACCCAGCCCGCAACTGACCGCCCCAGCGACCCGGTGCAGGCACCGTCCTTGGGAGCAGCTGCACCAGCGTCACTCCGTCAGTCCTAGCTGGGAAGCTTATTAAACATGCAGCTCCTGGGCCCAGCCCTTGACATAGTCTGCTCACAAGTCCGGGTGAGGGAAAGAAATCAGTATTGTGTGAAAGCCACCCAGAGGGCTGTGACGGCCATCAGGCTGGGGAGCAGGGGAATAGGCCGACTCCAGCAAATCCAAGGTTCCTCGAGCAGCTCTAGAAGCCTTTGAGCCCCCCCCCCCCACCTTCCAAAGGCAAGAAGCACACTGGCAATGGGTGGGCAGAGGGGCAAGGGGCACACGCAGGCCCCAAGGGACAGCCAGAGCTAGTCTTCGTCTCGAGCAAACCATCTGTCCACACTTTTTAAAAAAAGAGTTGTCCCAGCCACCATTTTAAGTTTCCAAATGCTGGAAGCTTCTGTCTTGTGTGAGAGTTTGCACACAGACACGAGGAGGCTTGTAAGGCTTCCGAGGTACCATTTCCCGAGGCTGCAAGGGCCTGGAGTGGCTTGGAACCTGTCGTCTGTCCTTCCAGCCAACACCCTTCCCTGGAATTAAGCGGTCGAAGACCAGAGCAGGGTGGGGGGCTGGGAGGGGGTCCATACACCTCTGACAACTCCCCTGCAAGTAGCCGTTAGCAGCTTCTCAGCACCCTGGGATGTGGGCATGCGCAACCTCAGTTTCTAGGCAAGGACACTGTGGACCAGAAATAATCAAGTGTCGCAGAACGAGCAGCAGAGAGGGACCCAAACCCTCACCAAGAGCACTTTTCTACCCGCACTGCTGGCTGCCCCCAGGTGCCTGAGGCAGGAAGGGCCAAGTTATCAGGTTCCCCCAACCCCAGCCCTTCCCTGAGCCTGGATTCCAGCAAATTGAAAGTTTTGATGAGAGTCCTGCGGGCTCCCTGCAGGAAGCTGGTGCGAGGTCCCGGGGCTCTAGGGCGGCTGCTCCCTCACCAGACATGCAGGTGCATTCTCCGGGGTCCATGGTCCAAGTGCAAAGTGAGTGGTTCTGGTGGCTCTGGTGATGTCACAGCTGGAGCAGGGAGGCTGAGGCAGCAGCCACGGGAGGCTCCCTATTTATAGCCGTGTAGGTGTGGACTGTGGCTCACCCCACCTCTCCCTGGGGCCAGACGCCCTGCACATGGCCCAGCAAGACGCCGCGGGCTGGGGGTTGGGGAGAGCAGGCAGAAGGAGGGCAGGGGAGAGGCCAAGCAGTACAGTCATTGGGGTGCTTTTCACAAGGGGTGCAGGTGGCTGCTTGCAGCCCATCCTCCCACCTGCCAATGTCACTCACTGGGCTCAGATTGGCAGCTGCTTCCAGCCAGTCTCCAAGCGCTCGGCATTCTATTTATCTGTGATTCCTGGACCCTCCTTCACAGGGTTTGCCTCTACCCAGGCCCAGGGCCCTATCCCCTCTCCCATGGTGGACTGTAAAAGCCCTTATCGTGGGCAGGAGGGGGTCTCCATCCTCAGCTCCACCAAGAACCTCCCCTGGTTGTCCCTCTCCCCAGGGGTGAAAAGTTAGAAAATCCGGGGCATGAGCCCACTTCTAGACCACTGAAGGAAAGGACTTGGGGGAAAATTAGCCACCCCCAGCCTCTATCCTAACCCCATTCTTTTATGTAAGCAGCCGACTGCTTCTCCGTCTTAGCGAAGTGCTCTGTGACATAGCTTTGGGCTCTCCACCACGTGCTCCCCCAACCCAAGCTGACATCTCCACTCCCACCCTCTCAAAGAAAGCCTGGGGATGCTGCTGCCGACACTTCCTCTGGGAAGCCACCTCTGATCTCCCTCTCTCTATTGGCACATTTCTCATGCCATTTGCTCCTTTCTCTTCTGCTGTGATTATTTGTGTCCCCGGTCCCAACTCCCTCACCCCAATCTGGGGGCTCTCAATATCTGAAGCTTTTCCCTATCTGCTCAGTGCTCTGCAGTGTTTTCTGTGTTGAATGAGTGAAGGAGGGAAGGAGTCAGATGAACATTCGAGTGACTGGAGACCCGAGTGAGAGAGTGAGTCTGTGAGTGATCAAATGAAAGAACGGGTGATGGATGGACAAGAGCATGCGTCCCCTGTGCATGGCTATCCTGAGGACCCCTGCAGTCACCATTCAGCAAGGCCTGGGCCTTGGGCCTGGGCCAGTGCAGACAGCTCCTTCCAGCTCCCAGCTTAGTGGGGTCTCCATCACTCACCCATAAGGACCTCCTGCGCCTCCGTCTGACCATGAAGCCACTCATCTGATTGGGAACTTCCAACAAGAGAAAGGGATAAGCTCTCTGGTCGTCAGAAGGGTATTGTGGCAAGCACTGGGTAGCAATGATACAAAATGCTCCCTGCCCTAAGGGGGGTCCACAGCCCAAAAGGGGACATTCATGTGTGGGTCACCTTCTGAGGGCCAGGAGCGGTGCTGGCCGCTGGGAGTCAACAGTGAGCAGATACATAGCACGTGGTTGAGAAGACTGGGTGGCTGCTCTCAGGCTCAGGGGCCAGGTCCATCCTCCTGGGCCTGCACACCCAGCACAGTCCCAGGCCGCCTCGTGTGGCGGCCCAGCTTCCCCCTACTTTCTGGATGTGTCCCATAGCAGCCATGAGGGTGCTGAGGGGCCTGGCCCAACCAGGTGAGCTGAGAAGGGAATGGAATTTTCCTTCATCCTTACCTAAGCCACCCGTGCCAGCACTGCTTCTTCCTTGGATGATTAACAGTGAACTTGCTTAAGGCCCCAGTTGAATGATAATTTCAAAACCTAGTCTCTAACATGAATATATTTCCCAATTTCTGGGCCTTGGAGATAGGCACAATCCCGCCCGCGGGGAACTGTGCCCAGACTGGTCCAGCTCCCTTTCTTTTTCAAAGACTGATTTATTACGAAAGGTAGAACAATATATAGGGAGAGGGAGAGATGGAGAGATAGAGATCTTCCATCCACATCCATGTGGGTAGCAGAGACCCAAGTACCTGGGCCATCTTCTGCTGCTTTCCCAGGCGTGTCAGCAGGGAGCTGGATCAGAAGCAGAGCAGGCGGGCTGCAAACAAGAGCTCTAATATGAGGTTCCGATACCATAAACAACTGATTTAAGTCACTGAGCCACAATGTTTTTTTAAAGTTATTTTATTTTTTATTTATTTTACGCTTATTTTTATGTTTTGAAGGAGTTCCCACAGGCCCATCTGGCCACTCCAGCCATCATCTGCATCTCCACTCTAGCAGGAAAACAAGAACACGCACACGGCACACCCCAAGGACCTGAACTGGCTAGCAGGTGGAGCTGAACCGCACACCGAGAAAGCAAGTATTTCTTTAGCCTTCTTGGGAGAGTCAGGGAGCTCTTACTGGAGAGGCAGGTGTGGGGTGCAGCTGCCAGGATGCATCCCCTGTCTGCGTCCCTGATTCAAATCCCAGCTCCTCTGCTTCCAGTCCGGCTCCTGTTAATGCGCACTGGGAGCCAGCAGGCGATGACTGAAGCACCTGGCTCCCTGCCAGCCGCGTGGCGGCCCTAGATTGAGTTCTGGGTTCCTGGCTTTGGCCTGGCCCAGCTCTGGCTGTTGTGGGCATTTGGGGAATGAACCAGTGGAGGATAGAAGATGCTCATTCTCCCTCTCTCTCTCTTTCTCAAATAAAATGAATATATATATATATTTAGATTTTATGAAAACTCTGGATGCTCTCCGCAGGAAGAAGAGCACAGCATTTTCTGCACAAGCTTAGGGGTTTGTAGATCTCGGTGGGGCAAACGCTGGGGGGTCCCGAGTTCAGACGCCTCTGCCAGGAAGCCCTGCCACTTGGAGCGCCTCTTTCCTTATCACACAGCTGAGCCATTTGCTTCTCAGTGGCCCATACGTATGCACTGAGCACCTACTGAATGGCCGCATGCCGGGAAGAGGAGATGACCACTGCTATGGCCCCGAGTCTCACACATCTCCTCAAGGTCTGGTCTCTGCTTAACGCACGCGAACATTTAAGTGGTTTTCTCAGAACCACAAAATGGGTAGTCCTACAAGAGCACCTGGTGCTGCACCTCTCACCCAACATAGACCACGGGATTCTGCTCTCCCCCCGTCCCGTAAAGGTGAACACCCGCTACTGTCTGCACCTGTTACTGTCTGCACCTGCTACTGTCTGCACCTGCTACTCTCTGCCCAGCGGTTTCTATGAGAAAGAAGCTTCTGGAGCTCATGGCCTGGGAATGGGAGTTCAGCTATGCAGTGACTGCAGAGAAAGGTCCCTTGCCGTGACTCCACCCTCCAGCCTGTACTTTGCTTTTGAGACTCCCACGTCCCCATACAGGACCCCCTGGATGCCTGGAACTTCCCAGAAATCCGCTGGAGCCGTCGGTTTTACTACATTGGCTTATTAACCCGTTTCTCCAGGCCATAGGGTTCTCAGAGCGGAGGCTGTCAGGTGCACATCTCCACACCTCTGTGGCCAAGCACACTGCGTGCTGCCCCATAGCAGGTGATCCATAAACGCTTACGGGCCATTGATGATCTCCCGGGGTGCTACTCAGTTGTCTCCTTTGGCTCTTTTTTTGTTTGTTTGTTTTAAAGATTTATTTATTTGAAAGGCAGAACTACAGAGAGAGAGAGAGATTGAGAGACAGAGAGATCTTCCATCAGCTGGTTCACTTCTCAAACGGCTGCAACAGCCAGGGCTGGGCTAGGCTGAAGTCAGGAGCCAGGAACTTCTTCTGGGTCTCCCATGTGGATCAAAGGGACCCAGGGACTTGAGCCATCTTCCACTGCTTTCCCAGGTGCATCAGCAGGGAGCTGGATTGGAGGCAGAACAGCTGGGACTTGAACCGGTGCCCATGTGGGGATGCCGGCAATGCAGGTGGAGGCTTAGCCTTCTACGTCACAGCACCAGGCCCTCTCCTTTGGCTCTTGTTGCAGAGATTTGGAGAGCCCTGTTGCTCTGAGCCGCCGAGCCTGAGCTCCGGAGCCGCACGCCCTGGGCCCTGCTCCCAGCTCTGCTCCCTCTGTTGCATGATCTGGGGCCCAGGGCTTGCCATCTCTGAGCCTCAGCTTCCTCGTCTGCAAGGTCTGGCTTATGCCAGTGATAACCCTGCAGAACTGTCGTGCGGAGAGAATGCACACCAAGCACTTTATTCAGACCCGGACACAATGTTATCATTCATGTTATGGTTATTCATAGTACCATCACTACCCGGGCCTAATGCAACTTGTCAGCTTGGTTCAGTCACCCACCGGCTTGTTCAAGCTCACGGAGCAACTGGTCCCGGGGTCCTGGGCAGGATGCACTCAGCAGCAGCAAACATGGTGGAATTTTGGTCCCTGGGCCCCCTCTCTGTAAGCTTAGCCTAATCCCTTTCGGATCCCAGGGCTGGGGGGCTGGAGGGCACTGTCCTCTCTGACTCTTCTTGCTGCAATTCCCTTCTGTTTGGAGACAAAACTGACCTTGTCCCCATAGGGCCTGCGTGTGGGGTATTCCTGGGTCATGAGACATTGGGGCAAAATCAGGGTAGACTGCCTGGCCACACTGGGAAGAGCCAGGGGCCGCTGCTCGCTGTCTAAATGCGGAAGCAGGAACCCAGGGAGACGGGGCCAACCCCTGGTCACGGAGCTCAGGTGGGCGGCAGGGCCACTTGAACTTGTCACCATGCGTTAGATCTGAAGCCCTCATGACAGAATTGTTTAGCAGCTTGCCGCCTTTATGGCTTTATAAATTGTTTATTAATTAATTTTTATTAGAGAAAAGTTCAAAGGTGCAAAGAATAGGATTCATAGGATTCCAAACACCACTCTACTTATCACCCAGAATTAACAGATGTCAACATTGTCATGTTTGCTTCAGCTCTTTTAATTATGAGAAATTAAAAAAATTAACAGGCTCCTGGCTTTAAACACCACCTAGGCCAGTGACTCCCCACGTGCACTTCCAGCCTGGGCCCTGCTTGTGAACTCTGCTATTTCCGGCTGCCACTCAACCTCTCCCCATGAATGTCAGACAACATCTCAAAGTCCCGTGGTCCCATCTGGGCTCCTGCTCCCGGCCTCACCTCCTGCCAGTGCCTCCTGCGGCTGGTCTGCCTCCACAGCTGCCACCCGAGTTAAGCCTCCATCACCTCCCACCTGTGTCTCAGATGGGCCC